TTTCATCTGCTAATGAATTACGGGGAGAATATTATCCATGAAACCAAAGAAGAAAGAAAATTATAAGTTCTTTCCATAGCAGCAGTAGGTTGACTTTTAATGTAGTCACAGAAAATCAAAAGCAATAGTTCTGACTTGGGTTTAATCAGCTGGAGCAGGAGCTATGTGAACCAAGGTCACATTTTACACGAGAAACATTCTCAGGTTATAGTTACAGAGAGTTAGTAAAGTTAGACTGGAAAGAAGTTGAAGCTAAGAAAACGTGCATCAGTGAGAGATTAATGAAGCAACCTGATAGAAAGTGTCTCTAGAGAAATGGCGGCGCAAAATGAAATATACCTTTGACCAGAGGTAGTCTATTCATTTCAATAAAGTAACCGTGGGATTTAGGAAGAAAAAAAAAGGAAGAAAGAAAACCTTTGGTTCAGTTTAGGTTTGACTTACAGCAATGGCAATGGGAAGGTAGTTTCAACAAGTTATTCAAATTTAAGCTAGGTTTTAATTCATTTTATCTTAACTGTTTGATATCAAATACAGATCTATAATTGGCTTACTTCAAAGAGATTACTGACTGCATCTTTTTACCTACTCATTTGACTTTCCTGCTCGTTTGTCTTCTGTGTCCTTTCTTTCTTTAGAATGGTTTTTCCAATTTGTGGTTTTGCTCCAAGAAAATCTTGGAATATTTGGGAGGAATAGCATTGTAGAAATATATTCCTCATTTAAATTTAATTGATTTATGTTCTAAAAAAATAAAAGATCATCTTGCATCATTATAATTACCCAATAATTCTAAAAGCACTCATTTGTATCCAGTCTAATCAGCACAACAGAGTAGAAAGATATTGTTAATCCTGTACTCTGGATTTAATGCACAAATGAGCATAGAACTAATTTAAAAACAGTATTTATTATATGCAGTGGAAAATAGAAGTATCAAAGTCTACAGGCCATGAAGAAATCTGTCTCTGAGTTATCACAACTCTTGTGGAGGCCATTTACTGCTAAGGTAAGCAGTAATAGTAAGCTTTACACATTTCGAGCTTTGTCTAGACTTTCTGAACTGCCTCTTTGGTTTAACTTGGATCAGAAGGGTTTTTATATACGAAATTGTAGGAATTTACGTGAAAAATATAACAAGCTGTTATAATGACAACTCAGGAAGAAAAAAAGGAAATAGTGAAATTTAATGGTGTATGTGCTACTTAATGTACTGTATTTGAATATCAGATGACTGATCTTACACAGCCAAGTGAGGTATATCCTGACAGCCTTGCAAGGCTTCTGAGGTTGTTGCAGCCAAAAATCTGTCACTGAAACATGGATAATTTTTTGAGGGTATTTTGGGGAAGCAGGGGTAGAAGACAGAAAACCCAAAGCTTTTCTAAAATCAATAGGACTCAGAATTCCAGAATAATTTCGAGTAACAATCTCCAAAACAAGACTCTTCAGGCATCTGTAGAAATAGTAAATCAGTGTGAAAAGTGCATGTCACTGATAAAATCTTGCTCTTCTTGTGCAAGACATGGATTTAAAAGCTATTATGCCTAAAGCAACTATATCAGGTTGAAAACCATATTTGCATCAAACAGCATTAATAAACAGAAAATACTGTATTCAGTTGATACATGGCTGTGGTTGTCTAACAATAACATATTTTAAAATTTACACAAAGCATCACTCAGTTTACTAGTTTGTAAAGAACGCCATGGAGGTAATTGTTTAATCTTATAGATCATCTTTTGCTTACTAAAATGCTTTCCCTTTGGAAGGAATTCAGCCTCATAATAAGGTTGCACTGCCAATCTGATTAAGGTCAGCATTGGATCTTTCTCTCTATTGAACATCTTTTCTGTGAAATGATCGCTAGACTTGGAGGGTAGAAAAGTAATACGTAGAAAAAAAATACTGTTTTCTTATTGTGTTGGCCATTGTCTTGCTATGCTGCCTTGCAATAGGAGTGGTTCTGATTTGGCATGTCCTCCACTTATTTGTGTTTGAGCTCCATTATCTAGAAATGTTGAGTGTAAGATATCCAGTTCCTCTTTTTTTATTACCAGTGACGGTTACCACTATCTCACGAGACCACTGGCTTTAAGATGTAGAGACAAATGTAATAGGAAAAGGGTTCATAGAAGACTTTATTTGCTATTGTGGTGATATGTCTAAACTGAAGACTTTTAAGAGATGAGTCCTAGAATCTCTCGTACTTGATACATTGTCTATATGGATTGATATTTTTACTGTACTTCCTGTTTGGAGGTTATATGACCAATACCATGAAAGAAATATAAAATATCTTGGATTTCATATGTCTACATTGGTGAAGTATTTTAAGCAAAGTTCCCAGACAGACAACTTCAACATTCGTGTTATACATAGCATTGGAATTTGCCCTGTTGGGACTGAACATGACTTGTGTTAAACACATTCAAATGGGCAATCATTCTCTGGAAACACTCTTATATTGGAATAACTACTGATTTATATAATTCCTTTTAGAAGCTACGTTTTTTGGTATAATCTTGCTTCTCCAGAAGGTTGTTTTAGAAGCCAGAAATCTGTCTTGTTTTAATACAGAATGTGTGGTTTGAAAAATCTTTCCTCTTGACAGTGAATCTTGAGATGTAGGATGTTATTTGAAAAGTAATTCAACAGCAAACCCCCCGGAAAATGTCTCCAATCATAGGTAATCATCCCTAGTTAATGTATGTAAAACTAGCACAGTGGCTCAACTTTTTGTTTGTAATCAATGACGAAAACTTAATTCTGTGTACTGGAAAAGCAAGAAAATGTAAAGTGATAAGGGTTAAAATGTGAGTCAAACCCTTTTAGACCAAGTAATTAATCAATTTACCACCAGGACAAAATTCCAATCTGTTTTTATCCATTTACTCATATCACATATAGCATCATAAGATCGTCCTTTTGCTCTGTTCACAACCCCAAAGTGTGACTTTGACCAATTACTAAGATTCCTAAATACAAAACAATAAAAAAAACCCCTGTACCTTTCAGATTAACTTTTCCTGCATCAAAATACCAGTTTTGCTAGACTTATTCTATTTTCTGTGGAAGCCTGTTAGTTCATTTACTGTATTCATTATACATAGCAAATAACAAAGGCTTTAATCCTTCAGTGTGCTGTGCTTAAGACCACTTATGTGCTTTAGAGAGCACACTGCAGAATTGACTAAGAGAAAGTTCATCAGATTTGTAAATGGTGTTCTTGGCATAGAAACTGGTTAACTGTTGTCAAGTTTTTGGTACTGCCAGTGTGAGTGTGCCTTTGTGAGGTGTTTCGGTTTAGTGCCATGTGACACTCTGGTTGTAAAGTACTGTACATTCTCAAGGGGCACATGATGAGTAATTTATGAACTTGCTAACTAAAACATCTCAAAAAAGTAACTCGCAAAGGAGGGAGCTTTCACAGAGGAGTTCTGCAGGGACTGATAGTTGGTCTAACACATACAATATTTTTTTAATCACCTGAAAATCAACACAATGCTTATCATAAAATTAATCAAAAATACTGATTAGTAAATAACTATTGCAATTTGAATCATATAACATTTACATCATATAGGGCTAGGCTATGCCTACAGATCAGATGAAATTTTCTCTCTGACAGTGAGATCAGTACAGCAGTGCTTTGTGGTTCTGACAGAGTCAGTTTTTAAAAGAACATTCCAGAATTGGAGTGAGTTCAATAAAAATCATAGGAAACATTTAATAGACTGGAGAAAATATAGTAAGATATTTAAAGAGTTCAAACTTTTACTTTCCAAGACACAACAAAAAGGTAATGATTTTGCAGTGCAGAAGTGTCTTTTAAATGTCTTTTGTTAGGGGGACAAAATGTTCTTAGAGCTCATGTACGTGAAAGAGAAAGGCAGAACAAGAACCAATGTTACAAGGAAGACAAATAAAGTATAGGCACAAGTATATAATGACTGGTTAAATCGTCTTTGGAATAAAAGATTAAGGGAAGCAGTGGATTCTCTATAGTGTACTATCTTCTAATCTGCCTTGATATATCTTTTGGAACATACATACTAGCTGAACAGAAATAGTGCTTTGGTTAGACTAGGATTATTGGACTCAATACAAGAATATTTTAGAATGGAACTCAAAATAGGTAACTTTGTTTTCTACACGAACCTATGAACAAAATATTACATATGTGAAGTCAAATCTGGTCATGAGGGATATGGAGAAGGCTGAGGTTCTCAATGACTTCTTTGCCTCAGTCTTCACCGGCAAGAGCTCTAGTTGCACTCTCCAAGTTGCAGAAGCCAAAGGTGGGGACTGGGAGAAAGAAGACCCTCCCACTGTAAGTGAGGTCACTGGTTTGTGACTATCTAAAGAATCTGAAGGTGTACAAGTCCATGGGACCTGATAAGATCCATCCACGGGTCCTGAGAGAACTAGCAGACCAAGTTGCTAGGCCACCTTCTGTCATATTTGAGAAGTCATGGCAGTCTGGTGAAGTGCCCACTGACTGGAAAAGGGGAAACACCACCCCCATTTTCAGAAAGGAAAAAAGGAAGACCCAGGCAACTACAGGCCGCTCAGTCTTACCTCTGTGCCTGGCAAGATCATGGAGCAGATCCTCTTAAAGCCTCTGCTATGGCACATGTAAAATGTGGAGGTGATTGGTGGCAACTAACGTGGCTTCACCAAGGAAAATCCTGCCTGACGAATCTGGTGGCCTTTTATGATGGAGTTACAGCGTCGATTGACAAGCATAGAGCAACTGATATCATCTATCTGGACTTGTGCAGAGTCTTCGACACTGTCCCGCATGACATCCTGGTCTCCAAATTGGAAAGACATGGATTTGATGGATGGACCACTTGGTGGATAAGGAAGTGGCTGGAAGTTGCACTCAAAGGGTTGCAATCAATGGCTCAATGTCTGAGTGGAGATCAGGGACAAGTGGTGTTCCTCAAGGATTGGTACTGGGACCAGTGCTATTTTACATCTTTGTTGTTGGTGGCATGGACAGTGACATCGAGTGCACTCTCAACAAGTTTGCTGACGGCACCAAGTTGTGTGGTGAGGTCGACACACTGGAGGGAGGGGCTGCCATCCAGAGGGACCTTGACAGGCTTGAGGGGTGGGCCAACCTCATGAAGTTTGACAAGGCCGAGTGTAAGGTCCTGTACCTGGGTCAAGGCAATCCCAAGCACAGATACAGGCTGGGCAATGAATGGATTGAGAGCAGTCCTGGGGAGAAGGACTTTGGAATGAACATGAGCCAAAAGTATGCGCTCGCAGCCAAAAAAGCGTGTGCCACCGCAGCCCAGAAAGCTAACCATATCCTGGGCTGCATCAAAAGATTTGTGGCCAGCAGGTCAAAGGAGGTGATTCTGCCCCTCTACTCTGCCCTTGTGAGACCCTACCTGAAATTCTACGTCCAGCTGTGCAGTCTCCAACACAAAAAAGACATGGAGCTGTTGAAGCAATTCCAGAGTAGGGCTTCCAAAATGGTCAGAGGGTTGGAACACCTTTCCTCGAGGACAGGCTGAGAGAGTTGAGTTTGTTCAGCCTGGAAAAGAGAAGGCTCTGGGGAGACCTTCTAGCAGCATTCCAGTAACTGAAGGGGGCCTACAAGAAGGCA